CCTCACTAATAAGAGCCTGATCTTTCTGGTTTACGAAAGGAGTACAGCCCATTGTGTATTCCCACAGTTATCTCCAAATTCCACATGTGCAAAATCCAACCCAATCAAGTTTTTTCCTGTGACCTTGCCATCTGCTTCATTTCCAAGAGACAGGCCACCAGAGTATATTCAACAAGACCTACTACATTTCTTAACATCAGTAACTCCACGTGACCATGCAGGCTGGAGAATCCAGAGTTAAAAGAGATCCTCTGATTTCTGTTTAAGATCTTTCAAGTGAAACAGCATTTGCAACTTTGTGATCAAAACTGTTTTCAAATCGAAGCATGCCAAGCAAAGTTTATCTGGAATTAAACAAATACTTCATATCTGAAAAGTTATCCATCCCCTTACAAAATACCTCTACTCACCAGTTACATTTCTTCTGTAGTTGGTGTCAGAACTGGCATGCTATTCAGTTCCACGATAAAGAATGACTGAACCTGGAATGCTCCTATAGCCTACCAAGCTCTCTCCGACTTCTCTGCTCCTTTCAAAGCACTGCATAAACACGCATCAGGAAAAGAAAGGTCTGGACACTCCTGGCTGAAGAAATGTGCAGGATGAGCAGGTGCCATGAAGGATTCAACATATCCATGCATTTCAAGTTTGATTTGCAAATCTGTTCTTCAGCTTTGCTATTTGTCTAGAACCAACACATTATGTCCTCCCCAAAAAAAGATGGTTACTAAATTCCAGTGGTTTTATAACGGGATCAACTACAACTGTCCCTTGGTTTAACAGCAATTCTCACTCAATTAATGCCTTCTAAGCATTATCGTGTTCATAGAGAGATGATCCAAAACTCATGATATGCCAGCTTTGTTGATATTTTCAAGATAAAATTTTATTATTTTACACTTATCTACTTTGACGCATTTCTTAACAGCATTCTTAGACTTCGAAGAAGCGTGCTGTAAGTTCTTTGCTTTGTCATGGGGGGGGAGGAACCCATACCTGGATTTAATTACAGAGGAAAAAAATTAAGTGTTCAAAATCCTTCTGCTTCCAGCACCCCTAAAATAGCATCCAGTTTTCTTCTGAAGCACAAGTCACCTTTTCAAATTGATTTCAGTTGCAAGAACCTATGCCATGCTTCTCTTGGACATGAACAAATTTAAATTTAACCTTTACCTTCAGTGCTCTGGAATTTCTCCATGGTAATGGCAGATTTTCAACAACATTCCAGTGATCAGGTCTGCGGAGCTCACCTCCCCCCTCCTCCCACCCCAGCCCTTTAATCTTACTGAAGGAAATTAGAAAGAAAGTTGTCTTACCGATAACTCCAAGGTTAATGTCCCTTGCGAACCCCACCTAGCAAGTCGACATCATGACATGTCAGGTCAGCCTCAACCACGCTTCCCTGATAGTCAGGTAAAAGGAAGGAGTTAAAATACAAAATTGACACTTGCAGATTTCTGGACATCAGAAAATGTGATGCAATATATTCTGAACTGTCTTTCAGAGCTTCTGGTAACCTCCAAGTTGTTAAAACATTTCTTCAGAGGGATTCTCCTGTTCTAAAATTTCAAAAGCTCCTGATCAATAACCAAATATTGCAGATCCACCTTGACCATTTTGTCTGAATGAGAACAAAAACTTAAGATTTCCTTTTAACGCGAGTAATTTTTCCCCCTACTCTACACATTTTATCAACTAATATATGCTCAACTTAGCCACTCTGGGTTTCGAAAGACATTTTAAGCCAATAGACTACAACAGCTTCATTCAAATTCTAAGTTAACAGAAGCTCTAATTTTATTTTTTTAGAAAAAACAGGAAAAACAACTTGGTACA